GTCTTACCAGGTCCTCCAAGTGTGCCTTCAAGGCTCTGCAACCTTGAGTTGGGTGTCCTTCTTCATTGTGGTAGACACAACGTCTACCAACGTTCTTTCCCTTGAATTCCCCTGGTGCTCTTGCCGGAGCCCTGAAATAAGGTTGATTTCGAATCTGATCTAGGACTTTATGGATTGGGATCCGGAATACCGTTGTTACCGCCTGTTTATTTCTCAACTCTGTTTCTTGTTTGGTCGGCCCATTGTTGCCTCGGCTTCGCTTCGGCGAGCCGTTTCCTTTTTCTTGCTTTATCTCTTTGTTTCCTGATGTATCTTCTTCGACTCTGGCATACTTCTCGATTCTTGTCATGAGTTCTTCCATGCTTTTTGGCAATGTTTTTGCCAAAGACTTCCGTAGCGGGCAGTCATCTTTCAGGGCGTTCTTGAAAGACACGACCGCTATCTCTTGGTTGCATTCGGGTATTCGGTTGAACACCTCGTAGTACCTCTTCGCGTATGCCCTAAGGCCTTCTTCCTTGGTGATTCTTAGAGCCATCAAAGCGTCAACCCTCAGGGGTTGCAGCTTGTTGGTCACAAACCTGGCCACAAACATCTCGGCCAGGCCTTCTCATGTCTTTATGCTTCCTAAGAGGGTGATTTATGATCAGAAGTTGGGCCGAGGTAACGGCCGAGCAGATTGAGAGCCAAACGGTGCATGGGGCCGAAATGATTGACCATCCGCCAGGAAATGGGCTGCCAAAACCTGGGTCGGGCAGAACTTGGGCCAAGTGTGAGCTGCCCCGGCCCAAGAAGGAGCTCGGCTAGATAGCGCTTGGTTGGACCGAGCTGCCTGATCAGGGGATGGCTGAAGCCAGACAAGCTGAGTGACCGGCGCCTGGAAAGGCGTGGTCAACCGAGGAGACTGTTTGACCGGCAGGAAGGCCGACCAAAGGAGGTATCCGGGCTAGGCACTGCCGGGATGCCGCCTAGCCCGATCCTCCATGTGTTTATCCGGTTAGGCGCTTGGGTAGGAAGCATGGCATGACCGTGGTAGAGCAGCTCGGCTGCCAAGCTCCAGCTGTGAAGTCAGGCAGTTGAGATTAGGTGATGATCGGCAAGGTTTATGCTGACAGATGGGATAGCAGAGCCACGTGTCAGGAGATGACTGGGAGTGGATATGGGGCTCAGAAGGTATATAAGCTTGTCTGCGCCCCCCATACGCGACACACGAACATCTCTGTAAGGAATTCTTACACTCAAACACTCTCCATTCTCTCTATCCATCCTAAGGTGTGTGCTAACTTGACCGTCGGAGGGTTTTCCGGCCTCACACTGCCGGGTAGCTCACCGTTACTTGCTCGCAGGTGATCGGACATCGACGGAGCTCGGAAGAAAGGAGTACGGGCTTGCCGGAATATTTGCTCCCCGTACACTTCCCTTTGGTAATTTATGGAACCAATCGGATGCAATTTCCCCAAAGGATGAGGGGAATACTTTGCAGAGCAACGGCTCGTTTCCACTATATAACGCCATTGAATTTAGGTATAGTCCAACATGAAAGTTTGGGTCTGACTTACCATCATAAATTTGAAACCTCGGCATACTGAATCTCTTTGGTGGTTCGAATTTGTCCAGTTCCACCGAGAAGGCTGTCTTCGGCTTTACTGGGGAGTTTACCTCGGCTTCAACATTCTGCTGCCTTCTTTTGAGGTAGTCCCTCAGGTCTTCTTTGCTCCTCTCTAGAGCTCGGTTGTCTTTGGATTTTAGTCTTTTTGGTACACTACTTTCGGCCTCATGGTGGGTCCGTTTGGATCTTTCTCGATGGGTTGTGTCAAAGTAGAGTACTTGCCCCTGAACATGTCGATGTTTTTTGGGCTCTGGGTTCTTCATGTGGTGCGTCCTTCGGGACTCTTCTTGCCTCGGCTTTTCCCGTCCGACTTCCGTGGAAGGCCGGTGAGAATGCCTTCCGCTCTTGGTATGCTGAGGGACCTCGGGGATTGTTTTTCTTCCGCCCTTCTGGGTGTTGGTTGCTGGCATCGGCGTATCTTGCAGCGGGTATGGTGGCTGCATAACGTTATTCTGCATCATGAAGTTGACGACTGACTGAAGGTCTGCCAACTTGTTCACCAATTCTTTCACTTCCTCATCCCTCCGTAGGCACCTGTCCCTCCATACCTGGAGGTTATCTTCATTGTAGTACTTTCCTTGGTTTGTCCTTTTTGACGTGTCGCCTTCCGGGATGACGTCGTTCTCTCTGTGACCCTGGTCACGGGCTTCTGTATTGTGGTTGTCTCCTTCAATGTCAAGGTCAATTGGTCTGCCATTCCCAGTGGGAGCGTCATTCCCAATATTTTCCTGCTGTCCGTTACTGACCATCTATTCTTCCTTCGTTCCCACAGACGGCGCCAAATTGTGTGGGTGATTTTCCGACCACACTGCCCGCTTAGTGATCAACTGGAGAGCACAGGCAGAATAGATGGATTCAGCAACCTGAAACGGAAAGAAAAGGCTCCGGCGGTGGTTCTTCCACCCGGGGGCACTCCGACGATCAAGTCAGTATATCTCTCAAAGATAATCAAGTGCAAAACTTAATACTCAAAACATAAATTGCATACCTTAGACCCACGGGGGTGCCTCTCTTTTATAATATACTCAATCCAAGTCCCACTAGAAGTATGACTTCTACGAACTCCAATTTAGTGCTTACTTTGGACTCTTTAAGAGATAAAGATAAACTCCCTTAAGAGTTTTATCTTGGTTAAGTCCCCTCTTTGTCTTAGGACTCTTGTCCTTTATGTGCTTATCTCGGATTCCGATTTCTTCAAGGATAACCTCGGCAACTCCGGGATTATCTCGGCTTAACTATGAAGACACATGGCACCTCGGCTGACACGTCGGCGTCACCATGCCACGTGTTGGTATTGAGAAAATATATCCCCACAAAAAGTCTTAAAAATTAAGGCTTGGTTTGGTATAATTTAAAAAAGTTAAAAAGTTAAAAAGTCACTATCCTATTTAAGTTATACCATCACATCACCTCTCTACCACATCATTTCAAACCTAACCCATATCCAACCTATATTTCATAAAAAAATAAAAAAGTGCACTTATTTAGCCTCCGTTTGGGAAGTAGGTTGGCTTTTTGGCTTTTTTGACTATTTGAGCCTAGGCTCAAAAGCTTGGTTTGTGAATGACTTTTTGGCTTTTTGACTTTTTTTGACTTTTTTTTGTGAGAGAAGAGTGTAATGATTATGGGTTGGATGTAATATTTTGTCTGTTGTGATTCTAATAGCCTATTCTGTCTTTTGTGGCTCAAAGAGTCAAAAGAGCCCAAATGAGCCATTCCCAAACGACACCTTAGTTTATCCCAAATAACCCCTTATTTTTTGATTTTTTTTAGAAAAATAAAATAAATCCAAAATAATTTATTAAATTTTTTACTAAAGTTTTTGTATGAGTATGTGACCCACACAAATTCATAGGTGTATAGAATTTTTATAAAAAAATTGATAAATTATTTAAGATCTCTGACATGACTATTTTTTTTTGTCCTTTTATGTGTAAGAAAATGTGAGAAGTGATATAACTAAAAATAAATTAAAAATTAAAACCTAACTTTTTACTTTTAGTTTTCCAAAATTTGAAATCCAAACAATGCTGGTGGGTTCCATGTTATTAAAGTTAATATTTATCAGATTATATCAATATTATTGAAAGATTAATTAAAAGTTAATATTAATTAATCAAAAGTTAATATTTATCAGATTATATCAATATTATTGAAAGATTTATAAATATTTACATATTTTTTAAATAATATTATTATATGTATTAATTAGTATATTAATTTCTATAATAATATATACTATAACATTATTACTGATATATTTATTATACAAACTATACATATTTAAAATATTTAAATTTTTTAAAATTATATCAGATCATCTGTTAATAGATTAATTGACATATAGCCATTGTTTGGCAGGCGTGTTTGGGATTAAAATAGTTTAAAAAAAAAAAAATTTAGTCTTAATAAGATAAAATATCACATTCAATTCATAATCATTATTTTATTTCTCTTACAAAAAAGTTAAAAAGACCCAAAAAAAACTAAAAATTCTTTCCAAATAAGACTTTATAGTCACAAATTAAAATAATTAAAAAAATCAAAAAAATTAAAAAACCAACTCAACCCTCAAACCAAACCATAATATTATTTTTTTCAAAAATTGAATAATTCAATTTGACGTCCCTAACAAGGCAGTACGCTCCACGCTCCATCCCCATTGGGTTCAATGACGTTCCTCATCAAATCATATAAGCGCGTTCATCACACGGTCCCAATAACACAACAAGACAGCCATCCCCCTACATTTTTAGGGGTTACAGAAAAAGTGAAAGGTAACGCTAAATCTTTCATCACCCGGATGGGTTCACACTTTTATAGTAAAAAATTTAATATTCATAATATTTTTTAAAGTGAAAAAGTGAAAATAAAGAAAGAAAATTAATTATTTTATGATTACAGTTTCAGACTCTTCATATTCCTTAATCATCTAAGAAAAAATTCTAAAGTGTTACCCAATTCATCAATCAGAGCATACATGGATACCGTACACCAACCAATAAGTTCTCCAGTTGGAAAACAATGGCGGTTACAGACTGTCAAAGGTCTCCTCACGCGTCCATTCACGCATATATATAGATACATAACATGTATATGTACGTGTATGAATAGTCTTCTCTTCTTTATGCTCTGTAAATCCGTGAACAGGTAGTTTCAGATAGAGATGTGTACATTTGACGCATATATATAATAATAATAATGTATTCTATGTATGTATGTATAGGTGTATGTATATGTTGAGAGTGTAAATAAAAAGGGTGTGAGGAGGGGGGGCTGGGGAGCGGTGGAGGCGTGGGACCCGTGTGGGGGAACCGAGTAGAGTAATCAGAGGAGAGAGAGAGAGAGAGAGATGGAATTGAAGAAGAAGAAGACTTAAACATCACGACAGAGGGGTGGGGGGAGGGAGAGGAAGGGGTTGACAGCTAGCAATGAAGAAGGAGGCTCACCTAACGTCACTCCAAACCCTATCTCTCGTCTCTTCCCTGCCTTTTTAGGCTTTCTATCTCTCTCTCCATTCTCTACTTTCAAACTCTTCTTCTCATTCCATTCTCTCTCTCTTTCTTTCTCTGTGTTCTGGGTTCTCACTTCTTCACTTTAATCTAGGGGGGTTTTGTTCTTTGTCGCTTTATTGGGTTTTTTGGACTCGTTTGTGTCTCGGAATTCTCGCCTGGATTGAATTGTTGAGTTTTCTCTGCTTTGGTTTCTAAGAATTTTGGGCGGGAATCATTTAGGGTTTAAGCTCAGGTTTGGTTCTGCATTTTTGTACATTTTTTTCATTACCCTTTTTTGAAGTTTTTGTTTTTCGAATCTCGCTGTTGGAGTTCTTAATAACTGATTTTCGTGGTTTTTTTTTTTTTGCATTTGTCATTTTCATTTTTAATTGTTTTTTCTGGCATCTCACAGTTATTTAACGGAATTTTTCATGCTGAAGAGAAATTTTCTGGGCATTTTCTTTCCAGACTACAGAACCCCAGAAAATTTTTCATTTTTTTTAATGTCAAGAACGAAATTTTCAGGGCTTTTTTTTTTTCCAGACTAGAAATGCCAAGAAAATTTTGCCCTTTGCGTTTCGTTTTGCTGTGCTCTGTCACAAGAAACTTGACTCAAATGAGCCAAATACTTGTGTTAGGCATCAAATTTTACTTAAATTTGTGTAAAAAATTGAATAAAAAGCTTTATTTGATACGAATAATTTCAATTTACAAACTCAAATTTAAACAAAAATTTCACTAATAGTAGAGTGATTTATTTAAAGCTACAAATTTGAGCATTTCTTTTGATTTAGATAAAAATTTATGTAAAATTCAATTGAACATATAAGTTTAGGCAAAGTAGTCGAAGGTTTTTTGATTGATTTTTACACAAATTTTTTAGTTACTTTCCCTAGTGTTTTTGTTCTTTGCTCTTTGCAGGTAATTAGACTGTTAACTTGAGTTCAAAGCGTTTTGCAATCTCTCTGCATTCAAGCCTTCTCGTCTTTGCACAAAGATTCAAGGTTTACTCCACAAACCCATTTCTTTTCCTTTCATCTGTTTTCTCTGCAACCAAACTGGATTTTTTTGGGTTCCTAAATAAAATTCCATTGAAAAAGCACTGAGATTTCTCTCTTATATGTTGAATTTTCTCAAGAGTTCATTAATTTGGGCTCAGTGTAGAGATTCTCTTTTATCTATCAACTTGATACTATGAAGATTTGGGGGGAATGAAACAAAAAAATTTAATCTTTTGCTAACATGCGCCACAGGACCTATGTGGTGCTCTGCTCTTAATCATTAACACATTGTCACCAGCAGAGGACATGGTGGTCCTCAACACAGCTCACCCGCATATCTCATCTTTTTCCTTTGGCATTTTCTGTGTGTTTCTCAGGAAAGTTAAGAGGAAGGAAAAAAGAAAATGATAGGACCCGATTTCATTGATGAGATAGACTGCGGGAGCTTCTTTGATCAGATTGATGACATAACTGAATTCCCTGCCGACAATGAATGTGATCTCGGCTCTGGCTCTGGCAGCGGCAGCGGCAATGATTTTCAGAGCATTTGGTCGGATGCTTTGACTGGTTCTGACCCAATTTTCTCCGCCAACAACAGCAACAGTGCAGCATCTCAACTCTCCGCCGAACTCTCTCTTCCGGTGAGCATTCAATTCTTGTCATTTACTCGAGTCAATTTCCTGTCCCTATTGTTTTTTGTTAGCATGTTGATTATGTTGCTAGTATTTTGTTTCCAGAAAATAGCCTTTGAATTGCTTTAAAATGAAGTGATAATGAATTGATAATGACATTATTATTATTTGTTACCCACCGCTAGACCGGATCCTCTGCTCCTGTTTCCCGTCCTAATTCACCTCTTTACCATGCTATCAAGGCCGAGCGACTGTGGTTGTATTTTTTAATGCAATTAGTGTATTTAGTCTTTTTTTGCCTGGTATAGTGTATTGTTTATTTATGCAGCTCAAAAGTCAGTGGAAATCCCCATATGAATTTTGAATGTATTCTCATATTAAAATTCTGAAATTGAGGGTGTATCTGTTATGTTTGGATGATTGCTTAAAAATTAAGCTTCACAGTAATTTGTGTTCCTTCAATTTGAATCTCCTTTGATTGGGGTAGTTGCCGAGTTGACTTGTGTGCTCATCACTACACCTCCGCACCAAATAAAGTAGAGTGTCAGATATAGGTCACATGGATGCTAAATGTGAATTATGGTTATGTTTCTATTGAATGATTCAGATCATTACTTCGTATAGGAATCTTAGTTTTGATTGTTGGTTGAGCTCGAGGTGCATGTAACAAAAGTATAGCTTAATGGCAATTTTCATATTCCAATTTATCCCTAAATCATTGAGCAGTCTTCTGATTCTTACAGTGGTTTCAGTACCACCAGCATGAAGTTGTGAAGGTGCTAAAATGGTGTTATTGCTAATAATTAAACTTGATATCAGGGCAGGTTACTTATGGGTAGTTGGGAACTTTAAATCTTTGGTAGACATATCAGCTGGTGCCATCTTGAATTGACTGTGAATCATTAATTTGTGGCCGTGGTGTTTTCTTGTTAGTCATTGCTCCTTCCCAGTCTGCAAACTGTGGGATTTTTAAACTGTCTGAAACTATTGGAAGGACTTGCTACGCATTTGCAATTCTGTCTGCAAGCTGTGCAATTTTTAACACAAATGATTGTTCTTCATCAGTTTTTCTTCTTGAACTTACAAATCATGTTATCACCCTTTTACTCTTCTGCCCGTAAGTTTAAGAAATTTAACCCCAGAAGTTGGATTGCTCTCGTCAATTGCTTAGTGTTGATTTTGTTGTCGTCATTGTTGTTGAATGTGGAACGGATATTTATTTTTCCAGCTTTCATCTTATATTTCTTTCTTTTGTCTGCTTTGTTTTATATTCTTCTCTCAGTACGAAGACATCGTGCAGCTCGAATGGCTTTCAAACTTTGTGGAGGATTCTTTCTCTGGTGGAGGCATGACCCTTGGCAAAGAAAAACCTTCCGTCAACAACGAGTCATCACACAATCAGTTTCAAACATCCAGTCCCGTCTCTGTTCTTGAGAGCAGCAGCAGCAGCAGTTCCTGTTCCAGGACAAAGACTACGCAGCTCAGCCCAACTAAACACGGTCCACAGCGTGCTCGTAGCAAGCGCCCTCGTCCTGCAACCTTCAATCCCCGCCCAGCAATTCAACTCATCTCCCCAACCTCCTCTGTTACAGAGAATCTCCAGTTATACCCTGTTCGAGTAACTTCCTCAGAATCTGAAAATTTTGCCGAGTCTCATCCTGTGAAAAAGATACCAAAGGCAGCTCCAATGGAACATAAGAAGAGAAAGAAAATAAAGTTGTCACTTCCTTTGGGTCCCGTGGAAATGAATCAAAACTCGACATCCCAAGCTGTTAGGAAATGCATGCATTGTGAGATAACTAAGACGCCGCAGTGGAGGGCAGGCCCAATGGGACCAAAAACCCTATGCAATGCATGTGGTGTACGGTACAAGTCAGGCCGACTCTTCCCCGAGTACCGGCCTGCTGCGAGTCCAACATTCGTTCCATCGTTGCACTCCAATTCTCACAAAAAGGTCATTGAGATGAGAAGTAATGGTGGTGAGAAAAGTTCTGTGGTTATGACGGTGACAACTACCCCGACAACCACCCATCCAGAGCTCATCCCCAACAGCAACCCTTCACTGGATTACATTTGAGTGGAGTGGCAGTGTGGAGACCAGCGTTCATCGTTGGAATTGCTCTTCACGGCCTTGAACTCTTCTGTTGCTCTCATGTTATCACTTTTACTGGTTGTTTCATTTCTTTGTTCATTTGTTCTTTGTACAGAGATGTAATGGGGGGATGGTAGAGTATTAGATGGACCATATTTTAGTTAATAGTAAAGGAATCAAATCAGAGTACTGAGAAAGTAAAGGAATCAAATCAGAGTACTGAGAAAGTGGTAGGGATTAAGGCGTAGGGTTCAGGTTTAGTGATATGCATCAGGTCTTTAAGATTAAGATTAATAGGTTTGGGGTGAGGATCTTGTCACTTCTTTATCATGTGTTTTTGTTCTTTGTTTACCCTTAATTGGGGATTCTTTTTGCAGTTCATTTCTTACTAGGAAATTGTGAGATAAGTAATATGAAGTTTGAATTTATGTTTATGCATTGTTGTGTTTGCTACTTCCGATGGTGTTGTGAGTCTTGGATTCTTGGGGAGAAAAGAAAAATAAAGGAAAATGAAAATCCAAATGGAGACTTCTTGTCTTTGAATCCTCAGTAGTTCCCAACAGTGGTTTCAATCCAGTTTTTCTACATACGAGTTGCTTGGCTGCAGCAATTACAGAGACCACCAAAATTACTACATAGCATATTGTGATTGATTAGAGACTGCCCTAGGAACCTTGGTGCTCATATGCTGCCAAGCGGGTCAAGACATCTGTATTTTTCCCTAGTTGCTGTCTGTTGGGTTTACTCTTCTTCATGAATCTCTTTGAGAATGCCTTTGGCGGCGGAGTGTTGGGTGGGCAGTGCTAGTGGTGTTGATGGTGTGGCGGTGATGGTGTGGTCAAAGTGGAGGTGATGGTGTTGGTGATCGTGGAGTTGTGGCGGTGGTGGTGTGGTAGAGTTGATGGTGGAGATAGTATTAAGTGAATGTAATTGAACAGATTCACGATACCTAGTTATCACTGATCTTGAGCATGCTTTGCCTAGAGTAGAACTTTAAACCTTCAACTGGGACTCTGAGAATTAGAGTAGTGTTACTTCATAATTACTCAAAATGTTTTTTTTATTCTGTCATACTTTGTTTGGATCTTGGGTTTTTTTTTTTTTCAAAAAAGAAGAGAAAAAAAAAAATTACCCAGCATTTATATATATGTATGAGGCACAAATATTTTTTGGTGTTTACTTGTCAAATTAGTTTTTATAAATTAATTTTTTTAATAATTACAATTCATATCACTTTTTAAAAAAATTTAAGCAAAATGAAAGTTGAATTTTCAACATTATGTTACTCTTATTGTGTACCCCTTCATCACCCAACCAAAGCAGCCACCACTACCCTGGCTCCACTGCCACCCCCATCTCTCACCTCCACCCAGGGCGACTTTACACTCCACAAGACCTAAAACAAAATTTAATGGGAAGATTTATTTTTAAACATAAATATAAATAATATATATTAGTTTTACATTGTATTTTATTATGTAAAATTCATGTGGTTATTCAATTCTCATTACTAAAATCTCGAAATTAAGTATTTAGCTATGAAAAGAATTGACAAGTGTCATAAGTAATCCAATAAATAGAATTTATAAATTAAAAAAAAAAATGAACTAAAAAAAGATGAAGACTAAATATATAGAACTTATTCCAAATTGGTGGGTAGGCTTTATTAAAATAAGAGATCAAATGTTTTCAATTTTTGCTGATAAAAGAATATATATTTTTAATTTTTGTGAAACCCATATTTAAATGTGGACTTTTTTAAAAAAAAAATAAAGTGTCCATTTTGACAAAAATATATTAAACTAGTGGAGGTTTTTTCCAAATTTGTAAAACCTGTATTATGCTCATGGGTGGGAATATTTTTTTTTTCTTTTTTTTCTCTTTTTTGGTTATATGGAGGCTTTTTTCATGAGAAAAAATTGAGTTGTATTACAACTTTTTATTATATTTGAAGAATTTAAGGCGGTTTTGAAAATAGGGCTTAAAATCATTATTTTTATGACTTTACACTCCAATTGGCTTTACCTTCTTTTTTTACACTCCAATTGGCTTTACCTCCAATTGACTTTACACTCCAATTGGCTTTACCTTCACCATTAGTATTAGGACTATTATCTCATCATTATCATCATCACCACCACTACTATCTCACCACCATCACCGCCATTACTATTGCCACCACAATACCATCATCATCATCACTCCATAGCTACCATCACCAACATTACCTTCATCTACCACCAGTAGTTACCGCAACGCCACTGCATCCCTATTTATTCACCACCATAATATAAATCTTTATATTAAATTACAATTCCATGTACTTGTGCATATCAAATAGCTTACTAAATTCAACATTTAAATATTAGTATATATTAAACAAATTTTTTTTTATTAAAAATGTTAAAATCTAGTTTTGAATATATAATTTTCATATTTTTCTTTAATTTTATCAAAAAATGCATTCGATTATATACAAAGAATAATGCCAAAATCTCATAATTTAAACTTCGAAATTCACCCCTAATGACATGGCAAAAGAAATTAGCTTTGCATGATTAATTTTGTGATAAATTAAAAGTTAGCATATAACCCATCATGTCATTATAAATAAACAAACAAAAAATTTAAAATAGAGTCTCAATTACTGTTCATGAGCCTTTCAATTTTTTATTTATTTTTGCCTCTTGAATTTTGTTTTTGGCTATAAAGTTTTTTTTTTCCTTATTTTGGTGCTAAAGTTCTATCAATACCTCCTCCCTAACAAATCCATAGAGAAGGCATTCCAAATCTCACAAACTCTCTCATCCTCTCTATCTTTTTCTCAAACTTTTTGCTCAAGGGAGGTAATAAGTTTTATGATTTCTGTTTGTTTATGCCATGAATAGGGGATAAGAAATTGGAGAATATGAAAGCAAATGTTCAGATTGTTGCATTCTTGTTTGATTATTTGTTGATGTTGGAAAAAATATTACACATTGTTTTGTCATTTGTGATTATAGAAGGAAATCCATGTGAATGTATATTTTCTCCTTCGCTTTGTGGCTTCCCTTGTTTGTAATCTCATCTCACAAATGGTTGCAGCAAGTTATGGCTCCATGTTCTTAATCAATAGGTCATGATTTTACCACTTGTAAAAGAGGAAATACTATGCATTTGTATTGCACACCACATGGTTGTTGTAATTTCTGTTAGAATAAAGATTGTAAATTGTACCAAATTTTTTTATCCCATCAGATGAGTTTCATATAGACAGAACACTTTAAATTTCTGTTTCATTGAATGAATTCTATATGACATGAATTCCATAAATTTCATATGCTTTCTATTGGAGGATGACATGAAAAACTCTCTTGTGTTTGGTACATGTGCAGCATATAATGTCCTCTGTACTCTGCATTATCACTTGAACTTTTATTTTACTTGCTTAATTAGGTGCCAAAGTTGGAGGAAAATTTAAGTTTATGTTTTGAATATGTAATCTGTAAGTAATATAGATAAAACTATATAGGTGGGAAATTGCTTGCTGTGTTCTTCATGATGCTTCTTCTCTTGAGGGGTTCAGTTAATCAAATCCAGTCTTGGTAGGGCTTCCAAGTGTTAGTTGGGACCTAAAGTTTTGTTTTGGCCTTAAGTTTATATTTTCAGTAGTAGATAGAGAGATGATAGGTTAATTAGATCAAGTTTAAGGTGCAAAAAGTCATATGTCCATGAAGGATTTGTGATTTTCTAGTTCTCTTTGTACCAATTCTTCTCCAGGTTAATAGATCAATACTATTTGTACCAATTGAGTAAGAATTTAAAATTGTGACTTATTTATTTGATGCGGAAATTAAATGTTTCCGAAGTTAAAATGTCCTTAATTTGTTTTTCTATATGTTGACAAAAAAAAAACAAATTTTATTGCTATAATTAGATGATATTTTCTTACCCTTCTTAACTGCTGATGATTTATTATTTATTATGTAGTAAGAATTAATGAAGTTTTTAAAACAAGAGCAGAGCTGGACAGCTGAACTGCTAATCTGTGTGTGTGTAGTTAGACAATCTGAGGAAACAAATTCATATATTTAGACAAATTTTAATGAATAAACTTGACTCGACTTTGAAATGGGCTAAATTAATGGTAGTTGAGTGTAGTTGAACAATTTGCAGGTTAATTGCTTTTTCTGTCCTAATAGGATTAGTGATGACAAGACATTTTTGTTTAATACTCTTAGCACATGTTTTTGCTTTATCAGATTTTCTATTAAGTTTAAGATATTCTTTTTTCTCAATCTATTTGTAAATAAAATGGGAAATAGAGATAACTTTTGTTTGATACTCCTAACACATGTTGTAACTTGTAACGACTTACTCTTTTGGCATGTTTCATTGTCTTTTGGTGTGCTTTGGTGAAAATTCTGAAATTTTGGTTTTCTACTGATGTTTCACATCTGCTTTCTAGGAAACTGATAGGTTTTTGGTCAACTCGATGGAAACGTAAATAAATAAATAAATTGTTCTCTGCTCTGCACTGCTTTCTTAATTCTTATATATTATTCAATCATAGGTATGGATTCAAACAAGATCTTTACTTTACCAATCTTTTACAAGAAAGGCCCAACATTGATGAACGTTATTTGATGGAATCTCAATATTTGAATCAAAATACTCAAGTCTTTGCCCAAGAGTCTCAATTTATTGCTGAAATTGAATCTCTGTCGAAGAAACCTCAATGTGGAGGACACTTCACAAAAGAAGAAGACAAACTCCTTGTATCGGCTTGGCTTAATATTACTTTAGATATGTACACGAGAATGAGCAAAAACGCTCTGCCTATTGGAAAAGAGTGCGGAATTTTTTCCATGAGCACAAGAAATTTGAATCTAACCGAAATGAGAATTCTCTTATAAATCAATGGTCAACCGTTCGGCTTGCCATGAATAAGTTTACAATTATTATTATTTGTAAATGAGGATGACAATCGATGGCATAAATGAGGATGACAAGGTATTGAACATTGTACATTTACAATTATTATTATTTGTGAAGTTGCTAAATATTATTTATTTATTTAATTTTTAGATTTGCAAGCGAAAATTATGTAAAAGGAACTCAAGAAATCTACATTCCAATTCGAACACTATTGAATTATGTTAAGGGAACAACCAAAATGGGTGGTAGAGTCTAAGAAGAAAAAGCAACCAAAAAGACCAAGAACAGGGACAACCTCTTCTCCTTGTACTCCGGATTCGATAAATCTAGGGGAAGACCATGTCTCACCTAATGCTTTTGTAGACTTGGAGAGACCAACCAGTAGGAAGGCTGAAAATGGGCGATTGAATAAACGAAAGAACAAAGAAAATGTACATTCGAGTATTACAAAGACTTTGGAGGACATCAAGGAAGACAAAAAGAAAATGATTGACAAGAAAATTGAAATGATTGACAAAGTATACGTTCAAAAACAAGTGGAGCTTCGTATCATGCAAGAAAATCATGAGGTGGAACTTGAAAAGCATGAAATGGAACTTTTCAAAGAGGACGAAAGAGTTATTTTGATGAATCTCAGTGGCTTGCCGGAAATCCAACAAGAATTTTATCGTTCTCGACAGATGGAAATCATTAAGAAAAGAAGAATGAATTAGTATTCATTCTCTCTTTGCTCCTTATGATATTTTGGCTTTTGTCTAGTAGGCTAGAAAATTGATATATGATATTTTGGTTCTACTAGTATTTTGGTTCTGCTTATGTCTAGTATTGTTTTTGGTTTTGCTTTTGTCTAGGATAGATGTTGAACTCAACAATGTTTTGGTACACAATGTTAGTTGTGTAATCTGATGTTGTTTGTGCTGTGTTGTTTTGTTGCTCTTTGTGATGTGTTGCTACCATTTTGGGGTTATTTTTTAATTTGTTTTTGCTGGTGTTTTTGGGCTATTTTGCTAGTGTTTTGGGGCTATTTTTGCTGCTGTTTTTGGACTATTTTTGTTGCTATTTTTGTATTGTTTTGCTACTATTTTGGCATAAATGAGGATGACAAGGTATTGAATATTGTACATTTACAATTATTATTATTTGTGAAGTTGCTAAATATTATTTATTTATTTGACTTTCAGATTTGCAAGGCAAAAATTATGTGCAAGGAACTCAAGAAATCTACATTCCAATTCGAACACTATTGAATTATGTTAAGGGAACAACCAAAATGGGTGGTAGAGTCTAAGAAGAAAAAGCAACCAAAAAGACCAAGAACAGGGACAACCTCTTCTCCTTGTACTCCGGATTCGATAAATCTAGGGGAAGACCATGTCTCACCTAATGCTTTTGTAGACTTGGAGAGACCAACCAGTAGGAAGGCTGAAAATGAGCGATTGAATAAACGAAAGAACAAAGAAAATGTACATTCGAGTATTACAAAGACTTTGGAGGACATCAAGGAAGACAAAAAGAAAATGGTTGACAAGAAAATTGAAATGATTGACAAAGTATACGTTCAAAAACAAGTGGAGCTTCGTATCATGCAAGAAAATCATGAGGTGGAACTTGAAAAGCATGAAATGGAACTTTTCAAAGAGGACGAAAGAGTTATTTTGATGAATCTCAGTGGCTTGCCGGAAATCCAACAAGAATGTTATCGTTCTCGACAGATGGAAATCATTAAGAAAAGAAGAATGAATTAGTATTCATTCTCTCTTTGCTCCTTATGATATTTTGGCTTTTGTCTAGTAGGCTAGAAAACTGATATATGATATTTTGGTTCTGCTAGTATTTTGGTTCTGCTTATGTCTAGTATTGTTTTTGGTTTTGCTTTTGTCTAGGATAGATGTTGAACTCAACAATGTGTTGGTACACAATGTTAGTTGTGTAATCTGATGCTGTTTGTGCTGTGTTGTTTTGTTGCTCTTTGTGCTGTGTTGCTACCATTTTGGGGTTATTTTTTAATTTGTTTTTGCTGGTGTTTTTGGGCTATTTTGCTAGTGTTTTGGGGCTATTTTTGCTGCTGTTTTTGGACTATTTTTGTTGCTATTTTTGTATTGTTTTGCTACTATTTTGCTATTATTTTGTGCTATTTTTGTTGCTATTTTACTGGTTGTGTAACCATTTTTTTCCCTTTCTTTAATCTCCTTTGAGGAGTTTGACTGAGGTTCTTCTACCCATTTTTTATCAATTGCCAAGGTTAAAACATTAACACCATATTTCCAAACATCATATGTGCTGTTTTTTCTCTGCATTGCTAATTATTTATATATATATATATATGAAGGCATATAATTAAAATGAAAACCATATAATTAAAAGGCATATAGAATTATAAAATTACACATAAATCAAAAGCATATATTGATTACACTCAAAACTAATAACATACTACATAAAATGAAACTTCAAATTCAAAGCTTTTACGACTCGCTGTGTAATTGTCACAAGTGTTCGATAAGGTCCAATTGGAGATAAGAATGTGTTTGCATGTCTATAATGTTATGATGACATTGAATGAATTCCATAAGTTCAGTAGTTCTTTCCTGTAACACCGTTACATGGGGACTGTCATCGATTTGATCATAATTGAAGTCTTTTACTCCATTGTCATCCCGCTCATTCTCAATGATCATATTATGTAGAATTATGCATGCTTTCATAATATATTTAAGCATTTTAGTATTCCAAAAACGTGTCGGTCAACGCACAATTGCAAATCGTGCTTGAAGCACTCCAAATGCACGCTCTACATCCTTTCTTGTCGCCTGTTGAGTTGCAACAAAAAGTTTTTTCTTATTTCCTTGAGGAGAAAGAATTGTTTTCACAAATGTTGACCATTGTGGATATATACCATCGACGAGATAGTATCCCATTGTATATTCATTACCGTTGATGGTGTAATTGACTATAGAAGCACGCCCTTGCGCAAGTTCGGTAAATACAAAAGACCTTTGTAGCACGTTGATATCATTATGAGACCCAAGTAATCCAAAAAACGCATGCCAAATCCAAAGATCATATGATGCAACAACTTTCAAAATAATTGTTAGTTAATGTGTCCAGTATACATACCTTTCAACGCAGTTGGACAATTTTTTCATTTCCAATGCATACAATCAATTCTCCCCAGCATCCCAGGAAATCCATGACTTTCACCAATCGCTAGCAATTTAGCGATGTTATTGCTGTTTGGTGACCTCAAATACTCATTAGAAAAAATATCAACAACTGCTTTAACAAAATATTTTAAGCTTTTTATCATAGTGCTTTCTCTGATTCTCACATATTCGTCCATAAAATCAGCGGCTACTCCATAAGCAAGCATCCTAAGTACAACAGTTATCTGCTGAAGAGGAGACAAACCAAGCTTTCCAACACAATTTCTTTTTTGGAGAAAGTATGGATCGTGCGCTTCTACTACAGCTTGAATTCAAAAAAAAAGTGAACGCTTCATCCGAAACCTTCTTTGAAATAGCTCAGGAGGATATACAAGTGATTTAGTAAAATAGTCAAGAAAAAGCCTTTCATGACCTTGAATATGGTCACGATGAATGACTTTACTACCTCGAACAGAATTACAACGTGAGCTTGATCCTATCTCACTATCTAGTAGTTCTTCATCCATAGTAACAGCTTTGAGCATCTCCAAATCATCATCAGATTCAGAGAAGCTAGAGTCATTTACAAGCATATCATAAAGAGAATTGGAAGCCATAGAGAGAAATATGGAAGTTTGGATGAAGTAGAAATTTGAGTTAAGGGTAAGAACAAATGAGAGGGGAATGTCTTATTTATAATTGAAAAGTAAAAAAATATGACCGTTGTAAAAATATGACCGTTGCAAAAATATCACCGTTAGAAAAATACGGCCGTTATAAAAATATGACCGTTACAAATATATGACCGTTGAAAAAATATGACCGTTTGAAAAATACAACAGTAGAAAAATGTAACTTTCACAAAAATATAATTATATTTAAAAGAATGAAAAAAATAATAATTTGAAAGAAGCTAATTTTTTTTATTTTTTATTTTTTTAGATAGAAAAGAAAGTAGTTAAAGTATAAGAATATTTTAATAGAAGGCAGCTAAAGGAGATAACCTTTTTGGAGTGTACATTAAAAAAATGACTAACTAATAAAGTGAAATTTTGAATAGCTATTTTGAGTATTCTCGCTAGAGATGGGCACTCCAGCTTCAACCTAGCTAGGGGTGGGCAACGGTTTATCCGAACCGCTCAAACCGCCCAATCCGCCCAACCCGCATATAAGTGGGCGGTTTCGCAAACATAATGCGGGCGGATGCGGTTTGAAATATGACAAATTTGTGGGTTGCGGGCGGGTCGCGGTTTAAACCCGCAAACCGCAAAAACCGCCCGCACTTTAATTATTATTATTATTTTTTTTTATATACCAACTTTGTAACTTTTACAGGAGCACCATTATATTCTCTATGACACTAGGATCCTTATTTTTAAGTATTTCTCAACTTTCTTAATGCCGTAGAATTATCAAGTCCTAAACTTGGTTTCTTACATAATTTTCATTGGTGATTCATCCACTTTTTCCTAATAAAATTTTTCTTCTAATGGTCGATAGAACTTATAGTTTGATTATTGATTATTGAACTGGCAATTCTAATTGAGTACAACCTTTAATGCATTGATATACATTTTTTTCATAGCAAAAATGCTAGTGTAGGGTCTCTTTGTTTTGGGTACTTTCATTTAATGCATTGATATTCAATTTTTATTTGTAAACTCATCAAAAAATTGTTATCACAAATATATAAAAAGAATCTGATGCCTAAATTCGCTGGAAAAAAAAAACTCGAAAATTAATTTTTAAAGAAAAAAGTGTAAACCGCAAACCGCCCGCAACCGCCCGCACATTTGCAAATCCTATCCGCACAAACCGCAAACCGCACTGCAGGCGGTTGCGGGTTGACTTTTTCCCAAATCGCATAGATGCGGGCGGGTCAAAACCGAACCGCAAACCGCACAAAACCGATCCGCGAACACCCCTACTAGCTACGGCTGCCAAAAGTAAGGAATTTTTTATTTTTCTTTACAGTAAGTTATTGGGTTGAGGCAACATTTTGTCTGGGCAGGCTCAATTTTTGGGCCCATACTTAACATAAACAAAGTTTTTAAATTCTCTCCTTCTCAAGTTTAGCAATACATATGGGCTTTCACACTGTGGTGGAGAAGCCCAGGGAAGGGAAGGGAAGGGATGGGATGGGATGGGTTTGGTTGGTTTGGGAAAGCCTCAAATTTCTTTCCGTAGTCACTATTGAATTGTACATTTTTCACCACCACCACAACAACAATAACCAGTATCATCATTTTTAAGAAAAATATATTTTTTATATTTTCACTGAAACAAATGAAGAATTAAACAAACTCAACTCCGCTTTGGTCCAAGTTTTGTTGATCAATTGCATGGATTTCATATCTAGCACTATTAAGGATTAATAACTTTAAACCACAGCTATCATGTCTTTTCTTATTAGCTTTGTACTCTGTCAATTTTCTATATTCTTCCCCTTGCATTGTTTGAAGGAAAAACTGAAAAAAAAATAAAAAATAAAACAATTCCCCCACCCATATCTACACATATCTTATTTCTTTGGACCCCCACCCACCTAAATGTGTGTACTCATTTTTCTCTTTGAAGCTCCACCTTAATTCCAATCATACCTATCCTGACCCCAAACTTTTCTTTGGCAAATCTTCCTATCGTCGAAGCCATCACTATCAGTAGTCCCACCACTGCCGCTTCCATAACCACCCAAACCCATTTACATACTACATTGTACAGTCAAGCTTTACAGCTCTACAATGGAGCCAAATTACAGATCTATTGGTAATTCATCACTCTGTTTTTGTTATTGTTTTCAGGTAGAGCGTGTGGATATGGTAATCTCCACAGCCAAGACAATGGCGCCAACACAATGGCGCTAAGCACCACGCTCTTTAACAACAGCCCGAGTTGCGGTGCTTGCTTCAAAATCAAGTGCGCCAACGACCTTTAACAACAGCCCATTGATTCTCGTCACTGCCCACCAAATTACGCTTACCCAAACTACAATGGCGGGTGGTGCAACCCTCCCAGACCCCATTTTGACCTCACCAGGCCAATGTTCCTCAAGATAGCCGAGTACCACGCCGAAATTGTTCTGGTTGCTTTTTGCTGATAACTCTCTGTCTCTCATGCTCTCTTTTGCTGAGTCTTTGTTTGTTTGGGCCTCACGGTCATGCATGCTCTGTTAGTGATGGGTTATGGGTCTGAAAACCCTAGGTTTAGGGTTAAAATAGGTGTCGACGATGGAGGTGACGAGAAGGTGAACGGAGGACGGCTGGCCATAAGAGATGAAGAAGATTGTCAGAGGTGATGGAGATGGCTGGTGGAATTAGGGTTAGGGTTTGGAACACTAGGTTTGAAGGTTAGAGATAAGGGTAGAAATGAAAATTTATATTTGGACAAAACTAGAATTTAAAAATAATAATAATAAAAGAGTGGGGGAGCAAGAGAAATAAGGAAGGTGTAAATAGCACCTTTCCAAAACTAATTGAAGTGTACATGCTATGTCAGAATTTTTTATTTAATATAATTAATTATTTAACATAATTAACAAAAAAATAAAATTCATAATTATTATACAATAATAAAATTATCATAATTATTAATTAAAATATATTTTTGGCATTACTAAAATTTATAAATTGATTTGATGATTTATTAATAAAATGTGTCACTTGTTATGAAATTAGAAATTTTAAGGATTGAGATTTAATTTTTTCTGTCACATGAGAGAATTCGTATTTTAAATAAATTTTAAAAAATATATTTATAATTGATCCTTTGAATTTTTTAAAAATAAACTTCATACAATATAAACTCTCTTAATCAAATTGACACGATACAAATTATACTCACAAATATAATTTTTCCTTAATTACATGTTGTCAAACCCTCCTAAGGTTTCATTCTTTACTTGGCTGGCCTGGAAAAACAAAATCAAGACAGCAGTGTTTATGCACAGAATTGGCATCTTAGATGCTTCTGCTTCTCTCATCTGCCCATTTTGTCGTTCTCAACCTGAAACTGCTGTCCATATCTTGCTTCATTGCCCATTTTCTTGGTTGATTTGGTCATCTATAATTAATGAGTGGGGGTTCTCCTGGTGCATTCAAGGATCAGTGGATGATCTTCTCCAATGGTGGATAAATGTCAAGCTCAAAAATTTTGATAGGTTAATTTGGAGAGCTATCCCCCTTATCGTTCTTTGGTCGCTTTGGAAACTTAGGAATGAATGTGTCTTTGCAGAGGCTCAACCTAGTCTCTATGGATTGAGTGAAAATATCAAAATTAGAGCTGTACTTTGGCTGAAAGCATCTATTAAAGATCTTCCTTACTCCGTTGATGATTTCACTCTCAATTGGCGCCAAATCAGAGGATGTTCTTAACTGTTCCGAGCTGCTTTGTGTTGAAATCTGGGTTTGTATGGATGTCCAGTGGCTGGGGATGATCTGCTAGTGTTTGGCTGTTGTCTTCTTGTTTTTGTCTTGTTTTGTTCTGCTCTGTTTGTTGGTTTCTCACCATCTTGGAGCCTCGAGTGTGTGCTAGCAGATGATTGGGTGTGCGTTTTGGTGCCAACCTAGTTGGGATCCAAATGTTTCACTGTGATGCTTTTTGCACCCTCTTCTTTATTGATGTATTCTTATCACTCTTGTTTTGTTTTTCATCAATAAAGCTTTTCTTTTGCCGATCAAAAAAAAAAAAAATTAATGTAATTCCCCTAACAAAAAAACACACCAACCTAGCCAATGTAATTTTACATAACGAGAATAACATCACACCTGTTTACAAAATTTTCCCCTCAATCTTGTGCATTAAAGGATAAAACAACACTACAATTTTCTAAGTTCACGTCCTGTCCACACCACACACAATGGCCTCGTTTGGGAAGTGGCTATTTTAGTAGGCTATTTGGCTTTTTGACTATTTTAGTAGACTATTTTAGTTTTTGTGTTTGGGAAGATGAGATAGTGAGTTGAAGAACCCCTATGTTAAACTAGGATGAAAAAACTTCCCATATTTTAATAAGGTAAATTACAAATATATTTTCTAAGGTTTATTTAGAATTATCTCATATAATTTTAAAAATTACATCATGTCTTTTAAAGTTTTTAATTTTATAATAAATAGTTTATTTTATTAATAAATTATTAAGTCAATTAACATTTTTTAATGATGTTAGAAATTTATTTCAATTAATAATTTATGTAATTTTATTATTATAGAGGAGAGCAGTTATGAATTTTATTTTTTCAATAAAAAATTCTAAAAAAGGAGTATTTATAATTTTTAAACTATAAGAGACAATCCGTATTTTAAACAAATATCAAAAAGTGTATTTATAATTTTGTCTTTTTAATAAAAATATATTCAACTCAATCCCATTTTATCCCTTAATCTTTTAATTGTTCCACTCAATTTTAAATTTCACGTCAAATTATAATTGAACACATGTAGATAATAACTAATGGAAAACAGTTACATAAGAATATAAATTACATTTCACACTCTTATTTTTTTAATTAAAATTTTATTTTAGTACTTAGCACCTTTCTATTTTTACCAATATCTCATTTTGAACTCCTCATAAGTTTCGAAACAGTGTTATAAAATTAAAAAATTATAGACTATTCCCGAAGTACCACGTATCCGCACTCCTAACCAATTATAATTTATTCTGCCCTTTCATGTTCTTCAATTACCCAATACAATATCTCACCTATCCACTTTTTTTACCAATCACAATATTATAGAATACGATATGTTTATACTCCAGGATTATTTATTAATTACCAAAAAAAAAAAAATTGGCCCCAATAATCATTTGACTTGAAACCTAGGGATTAACTATACTATTAAAAGATCAGACATTAAATAAAATTGGGTTTAAAATACGATGCAAATTGAAATTTGCCCACAGAATTTAACAACAAACATAACCTATACTTTTTTTTTGAACAAAAAAGAAGGATATTCTGAGATGTCATCACTGCATCCATGGGCCTAGGCCCTGGGATAACCGGTTGCGAGCTTGATTTAACCTAATTCAAAGGAAGAGATCCACCACCGAGGTACCTACGGAGCTCAACTACTCGCCACAGATAAACTCAGGTTTCGATCGAAGTATAGAGCGAGATTTTTATAGAGAACCATTGGAATTACCTAGCATTTCGCTCCCCCAAGAGTCGAACTTGGGTTACACCTGTGGAGAAAGGTGCCTTCTCCACTAGACCGCCACCCCCGGTGGTACCCACGCTTTCAATATCAATTTTGTGGTTACAATTAGGTGACAAGTTACACTCTGTTTGGATTGTAATGTGAAAAAATAAAAAAAAAATAATAAAAAAATAATTGTAATTTCTCATCTAACTAAGAAAACAAAAGATATTATTATATTTTCACAAAGGAAATGATACAATATGCACTTGCTTTCTTTTTGTCTCAAATTTTAATTGAGGAGAAACCATTTTTCTTCCTTTTGATTTCAAGGCATATTTGGTATTATAAATATTTTACAATTAATTAATTTTGTTTTCACCAAATCTCATCATGATAAATAATAAGCTCAGTAAGCTAGTTTCTTTTTTTCTCAATCAATTTATAAATTAAACATGATATAAGAATTTCCCATTATTTCTCGCCAAATTATCCATCTGCATTTATTATTGCTTGTTTTGTTTTTTTGTGATATGCAACAATCCTAATCAGTATCTCAAAAGTCATGATTTTTATGTCACTGTTTATATGAACAGTTATCATTAGCTCTCTTATTTAAAATTTTTAATTAATTAATAAAAATAAATACATATTATCATATACTTGGTGATATTTGGGAAGTGGGTTGTTTTTTTGATTTTTTTGACTATTTTAATTTGAGACTAAAAAGTTTTATTTGGGAAGGATTTTTTGACTTTTTTGACTTTTGTTGAGAGAATGAATATAATGATTATGAGTTGGATGTGATGTTTTGTCTTATTAAACTAAAATAACCTATTTGTGTTATATTGCTATTTTAGCCTAAACCATCCTTTCCAAACGAATGCAAAATAATGGAAATTTTTTATTTTTAGATAAAATTCATAAAACAAACATGATAAGAATGATATGACATTACTATTATTATAAATATATCAATCTTTAATGACGTTTTGTTTTAAAGGGAAAGATTTATAATAAACCACATTATTATGTATAAAAATTATATATGAACTTTTTGTTTGTAATAAGTATCCCTTAGGCTGTATTTGTTTGGAGAGTTAGAAGGGGATTGAGATTGGTAGTAAGGTAGGACTCACTAATATTGCATTTGTTTTGAGAGATGGAGAAGGGATTGATAGTGAGCTCTGGATTCGGATGGGCCTCTCCAAGGGGATTCAGATGAGCCTCCAAGACTTAGTATTAGAAAAATAATCCACCGAACTAGAAATTTTTTATTTATTTTTTTATTTATTTTATTTTTTACATGTTGGGCATTTTTTTTGAATATTAATATTTAATTTTTTTGTATTTTTTGTTAAGTAAAAATTATTATTTTATTTGTTTTATTTTTTTTGGAAATTTTTTATTTATTTTAAATTTTTTACATAATAGGCATTTTTTTTTTAACATTAATGTTTAATGTTTTTGTATTTTTTTATTTGTTTTACTGTTTTATATTTATTTTATATAAAAATAATTTAACAATCTCTATACTAACAACTATCATCAAAATAAATACAA